TGGGGACATTGGGGGGACATTGGGGACATTGGGGACATTGGGGGGACATTGGGGGACATTGGGGACATTGGGGACATTGGGGGGACATTGGGGACATTGGGGACATTGGGGACATCATCAGGGACATTGGAGGGATTGGGGACAGTGGGGACGGTGACTTTAGGGACAGGATCCATGGGGACATTGGGGACCCTGGGGACAGGGGACATCGGGGTCAGGGGACATTGGGGTCAGGGGACACTGGGGTCAGGGGACAGGGGACATTGGGGGACATTGGGGACATGGAGGTCAGGGGACATTGGGGACATTGGGGACCCGTGGCCCCGGTGGCGGGTCAGGTGTCCCCGGCGGTGGCGCTGAGCGCTGTCCCCAGGGCCTACGTGTCCCTGTTCATGCGGCACCTGTGCGAGCCGGGCGCCGACGGCTCCGAGACCTTCGCGGACGGCGTCCCCCGGGAGGGGCTGTCCCGGCAACAGGTGCTGACCCGCATCGGGGTCATGTCACTCGTCAAGAAAAAGGTACCTGGGGACACCTGGGGACATGGGGGGACATGGGGACACACCTGGGGACAGCCGGGGACACACCCGGACACACCTGGGCACACCTGAGCACACCTGGGGACACCTGGGGGGGACATGGGGGGACAGGGGGACATCCTGGGGACACCTGGGGGGACATGGGGATACCTGGGGACACCTGGGGACATCTCAGCACACCTGGGGACAGCTGGACACACCTGGGGACAGCCAGGGACACACCCGGACACACCTGGGCACACCTGGGCACACCTGAGCACACCTGAGCACACCTGGGGACATCCTGGGGATACCTGGGGGGACATGGGGACACACCTGGGGACAGCCGGGGACACAGCCGGACACACCTGGGGACACCTGGGCACATCTGGGGACACCAGGGGACACGTGGGGGGGACATGGGGACACTTGGGGACACACCTGGGGGGACACCTGGGGACACCTGGGGACACTTCAGACACACCTGGGGACAGCTGGAACACCTGGACACACCCAGGAACACCTGGGAACACCCAGGGACACACCCGGACACACCTGGGGTCCTTTGGGGGGTTTTGGGGGGTCGCGTTTGGAGTTTTGGGGTTGTTTCTCGGGGTGTGATTTTGGGGTGGTTTTGGGGGATTTTGGGGTTGTTTTTTGGGGTTTTTGGGGTGTGATTTTGAGGTTGTTTTTCGGGGGGTGATTTTGGGGTGGTTTTGGGGTTTTTGGGGTTGTTTTGGGGGTGATTTTGGGGTTTTTGGGGTGCTTTTGGGGTTTTTGGGGTTTTTTTGGGTTTTTTTTTTTGTTTTTTAGGGTTTTTGGGGTGATTTTGGGGGTTTTTGGGGTCCCCCTGAGCCCTGGGTGACCCCCCACAGGTGCAGGAGTTCGAGCACATCAACGGGCGCCGGTCCCTGCCCGAGCTGGGATCTGTGGGGGGGTTTGGGGGTTTTTGGGGTCTGATTTTGGAGGTTTTTGGGGTCTGATTTTGGGGTTTTTGGGGTTTTTGGGGTTGTTTTTTGGGGTTTTTGGGGTTTTTGGGGTTCTCTGACCCCTCTGTGACCCCCCACAGGTGCAGGAGTTCGAGCACATCAACGGGCGCTGGTCCCTGCCCGAGCTGGCCCCGGAGCCCAGCGCCGACTCCAAGCGCTCATCCCGCGCCTCCTCCCCCGCCAAGACCGGACCCCCCAGCCCCGAACAGAGCGGCCCCCCCAGCCCCCAGCCCCCCACGCCAGGTACTGCTGGGGACACCTGGGGACACCTGGGGACACCTGGGGACACCTGGGGACACCTGGGGACACCTGGGGACACCTGGGGACACCTGGGGACACCTGGGGACACCTGGGGACACCTGGGGACACCTGGGGACACCTGGGGACACCTGGGGACACCTGGGGACACCTGGGGACACCTGGGGACACCTGGGGACACCTGGGGACACCTGGGGACACCTGGGGACACCTGGGGACACCTGGGGACACCTGGGGACACCTGGGGACACCTGGGGACACCTGGGGACATCCTGGGGACACACCTGGTGACACCTGGGGACATGGGGACACCTGGGAACACCTCAGCACACCTGGGGACAGCTGGGGACATCTGGGGGGACATGGGGACACACCTGGGGATACCTCGGGGGACAGCTGGGAACATCCTGGGGGGACTTGGGGACACCTGGGGACATCTGGGGACACACCTGGGGACATCTGGGGACACACCTGGGGCTGTGGGATGGGAATGGGGACATGGGGACAGGGATTGGGATGAAGGAGGTGACACAGGGGAGGTGACACAGGGACAGGGGAGGTGACACGGGGCCAGAGCCAGGTGCCCATGTGTCCAGTCCCCTGTCCCCAATGTCCCCAATGTCCCCACTGTCCCCCATGTCCCCCATGTCCCCAATGTCCCCAATGTCCCCAATGTCCCCAATGTCCCCCAATGTCCCCAATGTCCCCAATGTCCCCAATGTCCCCAATGTCCCCCCAATGATGTCCCCAATGTCCCCAATGTCCCCAATGTCCCCAATGTCCCCTGTCCCTGTCCCCAGCCACGCCGGTGCCCAGCGAGCGCGGGGACGGGCCGGGGCCACCCCCGGACAGGGACGACGGTGACAGCCGGGACGAGAAGGAACAACCCAAAGCGCCCGAGAAGATGGAGACAGACGTGAGTGACACCAGTGTCCCCAACCCTGTCCCCAACCCTGCCCCCAACTGTCCCCAACTGTCCCCATCCCTGTCCCCAACCCTGTCCTGTCCCCAACCCTGTCCCTGGCCCTGTCCCCATTGTCACCCTGGGGTTGGGGTGTCCCCAAGGTGTCCCCAAGGTGTCCCCAAGGGTGTCCTGGTGTCCCCAAGGTGTCCCCGAGGTGTCCCCGAGGGTGTCCCGGTGTCCCCGTGGTGTCCCCAAGGCTGCCCTGGGGCGCCCAAGGTG